ACTACTACTACTACTACTACTGATACTGCTGCTACGACTACTACTATTACTACTACTACTACTACTACGACGACTACTACTACTACTACTACTACTTACTATTACTACTACTACTACTACTACTACTACTACTACTACTACTACTACTACTACTACTACTACTACGACCTCTACTACCACTACGACTACTACTACGACTACTACTACTACTACTTCCACTACTACTACTGCGACTACTACTACTACGACTACTACGACTACTGCTACTGATAGTGTTACTACAACTACTACTATGATTGTCGGCACTTACAATATTGGTAGTCTTAGTCTACTGAATCTAATGAGTATCGCCACGATTCGTCTTATTAGTAGTAGCGAAATAACCGTTAGTATTACTACGATGCATATAATGAATATTATTTGCGTTCTTGATAATATTCATATATTGGGATTGGTATTACTGTTTCATGTACGAACAGGGTTCCTTATTTGTATGACTTGTCTTATTGTGAGTTATAGCATGATCTGTATCCGTTGTATTAGTTGTATTCGCAATATCAGCACTACACTATTAAAAGTATTGTTGATGTGCTCTTCTTGTTGTGTCATTGATATTACCATTAATTATTACTATGTGTCGTCTTCTTCGTCGTCGTATAAGTTTACGCTTGTGTTCCCAAAGTTTCGAAGCATTGCGATTATGCTTGTTACTACTCGCAGTGTTATTCTTAGTGTGAATATTATGTTCATTATTACTGTTCCTCCTCCTCCTCCTCGCCCGCCCACGCGGACGCTGCCAGGAGCAGCGGCGACCGCCGCCTGAAGGACACGTCGCGCTGCAGCCGCGCGCAGACGTCCCCGCCTGGGAGCAGCTCGTAGACCTCTCCGGGGGGAGGGGCCGCGGCGGCGGCGCCGCCGCGGCCGTCCACGGCTGTAGCTGCGGCGACGCCGAAGGCGGCGACGTCTCCAGAACCCCTTGCGCCTTGACAAATTATCCTGGCGAAGGACCCAACCATATGCAGCTGTGAATGCCGCAATTGTGAATGTCTTCTTGGGCGGAGCTCCCTTTATGGGGCCACGAAGCGCTGCACTGAGTGGGGGGGAAGCGCATGCGGGCGGTAGCACTGGGGGCTTCGGTGGAGCTCCCTGTGGGGCCACGAAGCGTTGTACTGGGTGGAGGGGACGCATGCGGGCGGTGGCACTCGGGCCTTCGGTGGACCTCACTATGGGGCCACGAAGCGCTGCACTGGGAGGGGGGGACGCATGCGGGCGGTGGCCCTGGGGACTTCGGTGGAGCTCCCTATGGGGCCACGAAACGTGTGAGGGGTGTGCCGAAATGGGTGTGGGGGACGCATGCGGGCGGTGGCACTGAGGACTTCGGTGGAGCTCCCTATGGAGCCACGAAACGTGTGAGGGGTACGCCGAAATATGTGGTTGGGGAACGCATGCGGGCGGTGGCACTGGGGCCTTCGGTGGAGCTCCCTGTGAGGCCACGAAACGTGTGAGGGGTGTGCCGAAATGGGCGTGGGGGACGCATGCGGGCGGTGGCACTGGGGCCTTCGGTGGAACCCCATATTGGGCCACGAAACGTGTGAGGGGTGTAACAAATTGTGTGTGGGGGGGTGGGGCGCATGCTGGCGGTGGCACTGGGGCCTTCGGTGGAGCTCCCTATGGAGCCACGAAACGTGTGAGTGGTGTGCCGAAATGAGTGGGGGACGCATGCGGGCGGTGGCACTGTGGCCTTCGGTGGAACTCCCTGTGAGGCCATGAAACGTGTGAGAGGTGTGTCGAACCGGGTGTGGGGGACGCATGCGGGCGGTGGCACTGGGGCCTTCGTTGGAGCTCCCTATGGGGCCACGAAACGTGTGAGAGTGTGCCGAAATGGGTGTGGGGGACGCATGCGGGCGGTGGCACTAGGGCCTTCGGTGGAGCTCCCTATGGAGCCACGAAACGTGTGAGGGGTGTGCCGAAATGGGTGTGGGGGACGCATGCGGGCAGTGGCACTGGGGCCTTCGGTGGAGCTCCCAATGGGGCCACGAAACGTGTGTGGGATGTGCCGAAATGGGTGTGGGGGACGCATGCGGGCGGTGGCACTGGGGCCTTCTGTGAAGCTCCATTTGGGGCCACGAAACGTGTGAGGGGTGTGCCGAAATGGGTGTGGGGGACGCATGCGGGCGGTGGCACTGAGGACTTCGGTGGAGCTCCCTATGGAGCCACGAAACGTGTGAGGGGTACGCCGAAATGGGTGTGGGGGACGCACGCGGGCGGTGGCACTGGGGCCTTCGGTGGAGCTCCCTATGGAGCCACGAAACGTGTGAGGGGAGTGCCGAAATGGGTGTGGGGGACGCATGCGGGCGGTGGCACTGGGGCCTTCGGTGGAGCTCCATGTGAGGCCACGAAACGTGTGAGGGGTGTGCCGAAATGAGCGGAGGACGAGGAGGAGGAGAAGAGGAGGAGAAGGAGGAGGAGGAGGAGGAGGAGGAGAAGAAGAAGAAGAAGAAGAGGAGCAGGAGGAGGAGGAGGAGGAGGAGGAGGAGGAGGAGGAGAGGAGGAGAGGAACGCGGGGCGACGTCTCTTCAAAACGAGGACCCAACATCACAGGATGGTTGGGAAAAACGGTTTGGTCAGCAGCGAGGGCCGTCAAGAAAAGTCTCGGCAAAGGGCCAGTCCTCGGGAATGGGCCGACACTTCCCTGTGTCGACGCTGTGGAAAAATCGTGACGTCGGAGGTCTGGCTTAAAGCCGAAGCTGGACCACCGTGCCCAAGGCACCAAGCTCACACTGGCTGCGCATGCTAACCAGCCATGGCCTGGCCCAGTTGGGCCTGGAATCGGCGCGTGCACCCACCGACCAAGCCAGAGAGGCACGCAAAAGGTCATGGGCCCAGGGAACCCTCAGATTCGAGGCGGCGAAAAAATTGCGACGTCGCGTAAAATCACTGCAGGAGCCCTGGACCCCATCTTTCGGGGGCGTCCAAGAGGAGGGCCTCCAAGAGAGAGGGATCGCGAATCATCACCCCGGGCATGTGCGCCGACGGGATCGCCGCCGCGTCGGCGCGGCTCCTCCTCCTCCTCCTCCTCCTCCTCCTCATCCTCCTCCTCTCCGCCTCCGCCTCCGCCGCCTCCGCCTCCGCCTCCGCCTCCGCCTCCGCCTCCGCTCCGCCTCCGCCTCCGCCTCCTCCTCCTCCTCCTCCTCCTCCTCCTCCTCCTCCTCCTCCTCCTCCTCCTCCTCCTCCTCCTCTCCTCTTCTCCTCCTCCTCCTCCTCCTCCTCCTCCTCCTCCTCCTCCTCCTCCTCCTCCTCCTCCTCCTCCGGCCACGCGCCAAACGATGGGCGGGCGGAGATGCCGGGAGCCGGGCCCTACGGCCGAACCTCCAGACACAGCGGCTCGGCCAGCCAGGCCACAGCACGTGCCAGGAAGCCCAGCCTGAGCCACATGGTTCCAAAAGGCCCCCGAGAGCCTTCTGGGGAGACCCCAGGAAGCATCCCTGAGGACTCTGGCCACCGTCAGCCTCGTCGTCGTCGCCGCCGCCGCCGCCGTCGTCGTCGTCGTCGTCGTCGGCGGCGGCGGCGGCGTCGTCGTCGTCGTCCCCCCCTTCAGGGTCGGCGGCACCGGCCGTAAGGCCTTCGCAATGACTTGAATGTGGCCCCGAGAGAGGCCGAAGGGAAACACGCCGAGGCCCTGGGAGCCCTCCCCCAGGTGGCCCCCAAGACCTCCAACTGGCTCGAAGAGGCATGCGGCCCTGCGCATCCCTCCTCTGGGGGAAGAAGACTCCTCCTCCTCCTCCTCCTCCTCCTCCTCCTCCTCCTCCTCCTCCTCCTCCTCCTCCTCCTCCTGCTCCTCGCCATCCTCCTCCTCCCCAACGAAAAAACCCAAGGGGCCCCCCAAAACACCCTGGGAGCCTCGGCAAGGCTCCAAGAGGCCGCCACCTGGGCCGCCGGCAGGCCCCCAGGTGCTCGAGGAGGCTTCAGCAGTGCCAAATGAAACCCCCCAAAGCCCCCGAGAATCCCAAAAGGCACCCCTCAGCTCGACGAGGAGGCCTCAGAGGAAGCCCTGGCAACATCCCAAACCGCCCCGTTGTCCTCGATGTCATTCTCCCGTTCCTCCTTCCTCTCGCCGTCGTCGTCATGTAGTTCATCCTTTTCCTCATTCTCTCTCATTCTCGACCATCCGCGACGTCACTCCGGGGGCATCTCGCTGCATGCGCGACGCGCATGCATACATCAGTGCCAGCGCTCCCTCCCGAGAAGCGCAAGAGAAGTGAGCCCCGTGCGCGGAGCAGCGGCTGCGCGGCAGCCACTCTTCCCGCGCACCCAGACGCTCGAAGGTACAGTCGGGGCGTTGACCTAAGGAACCCTAAATAAGGAACGAGGCCCTTTTCTCCCATAAGTTCAACCTCGATTTTCCATGGGAAACCTTAGGAAAACCGAAGGCAAACTGCAGAACAATCAAGGAACACCGAGCCCCTCCCCAACGAAAAGGGTTCCTTCTTCAGGGCCCCGACTGTATCCCATGCGAGCGACGGCGTCCAAGACACAGCCAGCAAGCGCCCAGGAAACTCTGACGAGGCTTCAAGACGCCCCTCAAGACAGGGCACAAAGCCTCACTTCGTCTGGGGGCCGTCGGCATGGCGTGAGCATCTTGAATACAACATGGGCTGAAGCTGGAAGTAAAGGCAGAGCCACGGCTGAGCGAAAGCGGACGCGAAGGCGACAGCTGCAGCCTGGGAATTCAAGCTTGGGCAAGCTGTGCCAAGACCATGCACAGCTGGGCCCAGAGCTCAAGACCGAGCCGGTGCAAGAAGTAAAGGTACCACGAAGGTGAGCTAAGCCGAAGCTGACAAAGAGACCGGCCGCGCGTGAATGCACAAGGAGTGCAGGAAAGATTGCGGTGTCTGCATGTTCTGGAAGAAGAAGAAGAAGAAGAAGAATGGGGGAAAAAAAACAGCACAAACGTAAACTTGTGGCGCTCCGCGCGGATTTCTTGGATCTGCGCTGGACCCACCTCCCTGGCGCGCTCCGCGCGCCAGGGGCGCCGCCGGAGGCGCCGCCGGTGGGGCATACCCCGGATCCAAGACATCCGCGCGGAGCGCCAAAAGTGTATGCTTATGGCCTATGCTCGATGTTCGCTCGGAAGCTGGGCGAGAGCTGGCAAATCCATGGCTGCTAAACTGGTCTTCCCGGACAAACAAATACCCCAGTGCGGCCCTACCTAGAAATTGGAGCCCCTAGGACAGCAGCATTAGTTGCAATGCTATGCTATGTTATGCCATGCTATGCTGCGCTACGCTGTGCTATGTTATGCTATGTTATGCTACGATATGCTATGCTGCGCTATGATATGCTATGCTATGCTATGCTATGATATGTCATGATGCGCTGTGCTATGATAGGCTATGATATGCTATGCTATGCTATGCTAGGTTGCGCTATGCTATGCTATGTTATGCTATACCATGCTATGCTGCGCTATGTTATGCTATGCTATGTTATGCTAATGCAGCGCTGGGCTATGCTAAACTAAGCTACGCCAAGCTGCTGTTGGTTTGCCTTCGCTTTGCTGCTATGCTATGCTATGCTATGCTATGCTATGCTGCGCTGTGCCATGCTATGCTATGCTATGCTTGGCTATGCTATGCTATGCTACGCGATGCTGCGCTATGCTATGCTATGCTGGGCTATGCTATGACACGCTGTGCTGCGCTATGCTATGCTATGCTATGCTATGCTATGCTATGCTATGCTGCGCTGTGCTATGCTGTGCTGTGCTGTGCCGCGCTATGCTGCGCTGTGCTATGCTGTGCTGTGCTGTGCCGCGCTATGCTATGCTATGCTATGCTGCGCTATGCTGTGCTGTGCTGGGCTTTGCTATGATATGTTGTGCTGCGTTGTGCTGTGCTACGCTCAGCTATGCTATGCAGTGCTCTGCTATGCTAAAGCTCAGCGAAGCTAACCTGAAGGTAAGCTAAGGTAAGATAAACCTGAGCTAAGATGAAGCTAAGCTAAGCTAAGATGAAATACGCCAAGCTAAGGTGATATTAGCAACGCTAAGCTAAGGGAACGTCACTGGGGGAACCGCGGAGCGGATGCTGGGGGAACCGCCCCGGGCGTGGAACACTGCCCGGCCCTTTAAGCACGCCGAGTAAGAACCCTTCTAGGCAGAGCCTAAGTAGGGAACAAAAAAAAAACCCAAAAAACAGGAATACAACTCAACGCAGTAAACAATAAACGGGCTGCTTCCCGGGAGAAAAAAAAACGCAATCTCCCGGAGCTCCGGTTTGAGCAGCCACGGGTTGGCCAGCCTTCGCCCGGCTTCGGATTCGCTGCCCACACGAAGGCGAGGTCGCAAGGACCACAAGCGCACGTGCCTGCCTCCACCCGATCGGAGGCTGCAGAGCAGGAGTCCCGGACCAGGTCCGACTGCCGCGCGCACGAGGCCGAGGGCGCGTGCGGCGAGGGCCCGCCCGAGAGCACCCCCCCGACCCGCGAGATCGGCACGGCCCCTGCTCCTGCTCCCCCAGCCTCCTCGCGCACTGCCGACCTATGGCAAAAAACTGCCACTCCACATCATCATCATCATCATCATCATCATCATCATCATCATCATCATCATCATCATCATCATCATCGTCATCATCATCATCATCATCATCATCATCATCATCATCATCATCATCATCATCATCATCATCATCAGGGGGGGGCAGTGAGGAGGAGGAGGCCCTCTCAGAAAGCGCGGAAATTCCTCGGCCTTCCGAGAAGTATCACGAGCCTTCCCCGAAGACGCAGCAGACTGTTCAGAAGTCGCCAGGGCTTCCGAGAAGTCCCGCCGCCTTCTGAGAAGGCCTGCTCCTTCTCACTTCCCCCATCGCTCGCCACCGACTGTTCTTCCTCGGGGGATCGAACAGAAATTCTGAGCCCGAAACACACAGATCGGCGGAGATCTGGGAGGCCCCCTCCCTCCGTCCACGCTGGTCAAGTGAAAACCGCGACCCCTAGCCGAAACAACAAAAAACAGGAGCGCCCGTGTTGGACAATAATTTGATAGATTTCCGTTGGCTTGTTGTTAATTGCGAGCCACGTCTACGTCGCAGAGCGGGCAAATGTGTCTTTGGACGGGACACGCCACTCCTTGACAAAAACCTTGCCCCGATTTTGTGGCCGCCGCGATCGCCGCGGCCACCTCCCAAACCGACCCGGAGGTTTGATTAGAGGCCTCCTAGACGGGGTTCGTGTAGACGGGGTCGGAGGATCGCACCGCACCGCCGATGCACTGCCGATGCATCGGCGACGTCAGCGATGCATCAGCACCGTCGGCGCGAAGACCATCGGGCCCCACAACGAGCCGCATCGGCGGCGCATCGGCGATGTGGCGCGATCCTCTGACCCCGTCGGCTTCGACCCCCATCTGGGAGGCCCCGATTCGGCGGTGGACACACCTCCCTTTAGTAAACCTCCCTTCGTGAAAACGGCCTGGGACCGAAACCCGCGGAAAGTGGACCCGCAAAAATGACGGCCGCGACGCCCTCTCGCGAACCGGAAACGGCCAATTCACTGATCGACGTGTCAGGGTGGGAGGCCTGTCCACCCACGACTGATCGATCAGGGGCGGGACCTCACGCAGCGATGCGCGCCCTGCCCCCCTCCGCGCGGGCGCCGCGCCGAGCAGCGGGCACGGTGGGCGCGGGGCGTCTGAGGCGGGCCGAGGCCGAGGCGCGGGCGAGGCTCACATCTACGTATACAGTAGGAGCTCGACCACAAGAAACCTTCCACAAGAAACCCAACCCTGAGACCCCAAGACGTCCATGGACTTTTGTTGGGTGCGGGAACCTCACGCTGTCCATCGCAAAACCATCCAAACCCGAGAAAACAAAGGCATCCTGGAGGCAAGCAGGGTGTTTTTGTTTGGCATGGTTTTCCACTATACACCCACTGCGCCTCGGGCCTCTGACAGCCCAAGCGATGCTCGGGCCGTGAAGAACGATCACGGCGGGAAGTTCTTGCCCGCTCGCGGCCCCCGGGGGCTCCCGCGGGGCCCCGAAGCCATCAGAAACGACTCGAGAGAAACACCTGCCCTGGGAGGCTGCTGCCAGAATATGGCCATAGCCACTGCTGCTGGGTCGTGTTCCGAGGACTCGGGGAGCGGCGAGGTATGGACGTCTGCCCGCCGGCGCGGGCCAGGCAGACATCCATATCCACCGCTCCCCGAGATCCCAGGGCACGACTCCGAAGCGGTGGACGTGGTCAGATTCTGTCGGTGAAGGGGAAACGGTCGGGACTTCTGGGGGGCCCGCATCGAATAAGTCAAGACATCACATGGCTAAGTCCGTACCGATGCCGAGCCGCACTCGGATGCGGGTAAAAATCAGGCATGTGGCGAGGTCAGGTCTTTCTCCATATCCACTGCGTCTCTGCTGCTCACCCTCCCGTTGGCACCTGTGCCACAGAGGGCTTCGGCCGTCTCTGGAAACGCGCGGGTAGCAGCCCGATCGTCACCCTTGCTGGACGCAGCTTGGGGAGAGACTCTTGCCGCTCGGCCTAGCCAGTCGAGTGTAGGATCCGGCCCCGGACCTACCCTGGAAGGGCTCCTTTAAATGGAGTTACCTTACGGGGACCTCCTAACGTTCGGAAGTGAGGGGAAACTAAAGTCCCAACGCTGCTGTGGGCAACTCATCGCTTCGTTGAACTGGCGGGCAAATGGGTGTGGCGCCGGCGCCTGTGTTCTCTGGCTGGCTACCAGAAAGCTCCCTGCAGCTGCGGCGGCTCCGGGCTACGTGAGCCGCCGCTGTTCTCTCGCTCCAGGCTGAGGCAGTATGGCCGACTGCATGTGAATTTATGCAGGTACTCTGGGCACCCTCCTCGTAGCTGGGCCGCGCGCTTCGCGCGCGACCAGCTCGGGTGTTCTGCGCCGGGCATTAGAATGCTCGCCCTCCCGTGGCGCAGTGGGCGTGGCTAAAAAGCTGGCCACTGGCGAGGCCAGATGTGCATCCACATCTGCTGCGTCTCGGGCTTTCTGTTAGGTCGAGCATGTCCTCCAACAGGCGGGTTCTTTACGATAGACCGAAAAATAATCAAACGAGCACGACAAGTCGTTCCCATACTATGTTTTACCATTCCTGAATACTCCTGCTGTAAAGGGGCATGCCCGACTTAAGCTTCGTGTTGCATCCCTTCCCCGAGTTTGTCCAAAAGAAGCTTCGTGTTGCATCCCTTCCCCGAATTTGTCCACAAAAGGCCATGGATCGATGGGCAGAAATCTCGCCCGCCGAAAGGGGCCTCCGGGCGGCCTCTCCCTCCAGAAGCGGGGGCAGCGGCCGCCCAGGGCTCGGGCTTCGACGGCGACGCCCGCGAGCCTTCCGTCGCGGCCTCGTCACGACGCGTGGATGTTGGACGACGACGACGACGACGACGACGACGCCGACGACGACGACGACGTCGACGACGACAAGGACGACGACGACGACGACGACGACGACGACGACGACGACGGCGACGACGACGACGACGACGACAGCAAGGGGCCGGCGGAGAGGCGTCGGGCCCCGCCCGGCTAGCGCTCGCGGGCGTGGCGCGCGAAGCCCATGAGGATCACGAGGTTCGGGTGCCGGAACCTCGCGGGGCGGCGTGCCCCGGGGGGGGGGCGACTGGGGGGGGAGGGGAGGGAGAGGGAGGGAGGGGGGGAGGGAGGGGAGGGAGGCGACGGGGGGCGAGGGGAGGGAGGGGAGCGAGGGAGGGGAGGGAGGCGACGGGGGGCGACTGGGGGGGAGAGGAGGGGAGGGGAGGGAGGGAGGGAGGATCAGGATCAGGAGGATCAGGAGGGTCAGGAGGGAGGTGAGGGAGATGAGGGAGGGAGGGAGGGAGGAGGAGCAGGGGGGGGCGTGCCGTCGCTCGGACGTCCCTTTCCCGTGCATGTTTTCGGTCTCGTGCGCGTTTTGTTTTTTTGCTCGATGGTCCAGGGTGGTCCTCGCCGGGAAAAAAATGCACGCGTCCGAGCGATGCCAAGAGGAAGGGAGGGAGGGAGGAGGATCGGGGTCGCGGGAGAAATGCGTAGAGGAGGAAGACAGAGGGGACATCGAGGGAAGCGGATGGGGAGAGAAGGATCGAGGGCGGAGGACGACGACGATCGAGGGAGGAGGAGGAGGAGGAGGAGGACGACGACGACGAGGAGGATCGATGCAGGCGGAGGGGCGAGAGGAAGAGCTCGTGGGCCTGGTGGACGCCGCTGCTGCCTGAGGTGGGGCGCCGCGGGCGAGGGCCTCCGCGGGCCCCCTTCCCCCGCCGCTCGCCCGCGGGGCCCCCGGGGGTACGGAGAGGGCGCGTCGGCGGTCGCTCTGGATGCCCGGGCCCTCGGCCAACGCCTCTCCATGCAGGGCGGCGAGGTCCATACCTCCGGAAACGGCAGGGCCGTTTCTTCACCGTTTCCAACAAAATGCCCCTTGATTTTGTTTTTTTTGTCCGCCTACTGGCAGCTCAGATTCCGATGAATAAAATGCCCCTTGAAAATGGAAACGGCAAAAAAACGGCGACCAGAAACGGCAACGAAAACGGCTCCGGGATTGGAACCGGAGCCGGAACCGGTCAAAAAACGGCGACGGAACGGGTAAAAAAACGGCGTCGGAACCGGTAAAACAACAGCAAAACGGAACCGGTAAAAAAAAGGCCCTGTCGTTTCCAGGGCCCACTAAGGTCCATACATGTCCACTGCTCCTGGACAGGCCCATCCTGGGCCCAGGAGCCGTGCATGCGCCCTCCTGGCCTGGCCAGGGAGGCACGTGCACCGCTACTGGGTCCAGGGCGGGTCTGGCCAGCAGCAGTGGGTGCGTACAGAGATCTCGTCGCCCTGTAATGGCGCGTCACCGCCCCCACCTGCCACCCCCGCGCATGCCGCATGCCAGGCTGGGCGATCCCTATGCCATGGGCGTGCCTCCCGCCAGCACGCGTGGGACCAACGCTCTGGCAACATCCAGCCTCCAGACTTACAGCAACGCGGGGCCTCTCCAGCTCTTTCCTTACAGCGGCTCCGTCAAACAGTCCCACCAGCCCTTTGGGCGTGAGTGGTTTAGCGAGCTCTCTCTGTCCTCAACCCCCCTTCTTCCCCTTCGGGGAGGGGTTCACCCCTCCCCCCTACCCCCTCCCCCTGGGCCTGGAGAGGGGGTCCCGCGGGTCGTCAGGGGGGTAAATTTCGACTCCTGGGAGGGCTAAAAAACGACGACCCTCACGAGGATTCTGGCCCCGACGGGGGGGCGGAGATAAGTCCCTCTCCTCTTCTGTGAAGCCAAAAACATTGATTTTACTATGGTTTTGGCCCCATTTTGGACTTCTGAAGGGGCAGCGCTCATCGTCCTTCACGGCAAAATCATTGATTTTACTAAGGTTTTGGCCTCATTTTGTCCTTCTCAGGGGGCAGCTCTTCTTTGCGCTTCTGAGGAGGTCGCCAGAGGCCCCAAGATGTCCCCCAGAGGCCCCCAGAAGGCTCCCAAGAGGCCTCCAAGAGACCCCCCAGAGGCCCCCAAACAAACGGCCCCAAGAGGCCCCCAAGAGGCCCCCAAGAGGCCCCCAAGAGGCCCCAAGAGGCCCCAAGAGGCCCCCAAGAGGCCCCCAAGAGGCCCCCAAGAGGCCCCCAAGAGGCCCCAAGAGGCTCCAAGAGGCCCCCAAGAGGCCCCACGAGGAGCCCGAACGACTCACACCAGGACGAGGGGCCCGAACGACTCACACCACGAAGAGCCCGAACGACTCACACCACAAGGAGGGGCCCGAACGACTCACACCAGGACGAGGCGCCCGAACGACTCACACCACGAGGAGCCCGAACGACTCACACCACGACGCGGGCCCCGAACGACTCACACTACTACTACTTCTACCTCCACTATTACTACTTCTACGCATGGTGGTACGGCCATACTACTACTTACTACTGCTACTACGACTACTACTACTACTACTACTACTACTACTAACTACTACTACTACTACTACTACTACTACTACTACTACTACTACTACTACTACTACTACTACTACTACTACTACTACTACTACTACTACTACTACTACTACTACTACTACTACTACTACTACTACTACTACGACTACTACTACTACTACTGCTACTGCTACTGCTACTGCTACTACTACTACTACTACTACTACTACTACTACTACTACTACTAACTACTACACTACTACTAACTACTACTACTACTACTACTACTACACTACCAGGACGAGGCGCCCGAACGACCCACACCACGAGGAGCCCGAACGACTCACACCACGACGCGGGCCCCGAACGACTCACACTACTACTACTTCTACCTCTACTATTACTACTTCTACGTATGGTGGTACGGCCACTACTACTACCAGTACTACTACTACGACGACTACACTACTACTACTACTACTACTACTACTACTACTACTACTACTACTACTACTACTACTACTACTACTACTACTACTACTTACTTACTACTACTACTACTACTACTACTACTACT